TTGCGACGGTCAAATATTTTGATTCACCGTGTTACAGCCGCCGTACCCAGCCCCCCAATCACAGAGCTTACGGTCTGCGTTGACTCAACGTGTAGTTACATTTTTGAGGAGGTGCACGTCAGGTGACGGCGTAGCCTCTGCGTAGCCCCGTAGCCTACGCCGTCACCTATGCTGTCGATTTGACGCTGAAGTATAAATTGCCCTTTACGGTGAATGCGTGAGACTTGAGAGCCCTGCCCACAATCATTACCCGCTGGGTCCCCCCGCCCCTGGCCTGAAAACCTCCAGTGGTTGAGTAAAAGGTGTTAAACCTAAACATACACTCCGGTCCTCCAATTTCCCAGCAGTAAGGTAATTTGACCAGTAGCTGCAGGCTAACTGAGCTAATTAGTTAGCAGCAGTTAGCTGACTTGCTACACACACAGCTGAAGCTATCTGTCCATCAGGGAACTCCATAAATCATCAAATTGAGGCAGAACAGAAGGGAAACATCAGAGAGAAAATATTTTCATATTTATTTTCAAAACAACATTTTTTGGTCATTGATGGGCCAGATCCTGCCATATGACATATAGGCCCAGTGCAATGCATGTCATATAATAACATTATATTACACAACATCAATTTTGATTTCATGGGAATGGGATATTTTATAATTGTTTCTCTAAAAATACACTGAGCAGACAACACATTTTTGATACTCTCTTGTCTTTTTTTGCAAATTTGGTATTGAAGTAATTCAAAGCTAAAAGTAATCAGGTTACATTACTTTTATTTTGTGGTACTTGGATTACATTACTGGTTACATTATTTAACAAGTAATTAGTAATTGTACCAGATTACATTTAATGTAATCCTACCAACCCTGCTCGTTGCATTGGCGTTAGCTGCCCTGCTCTTTATGTATCTTCCACCAGAGGGCCTCTAATACATTTAGCTGTGCACAGCTAAATGTATTAGATGATAACAAAATAGTGAGCTAGACTGAATATTATAATAGACTAGACTGTTGCTACACTTTATAACAGACTGCAATAAGTAACATTGCTGTAGTGAGTGGTTCTTCTATTGTGTTGTATTAATATTGTATATTATGTGGGTCACATAAGTTACAATGCCTAAGAAAGTGGAGAAGCTGTACCTGAGTATCGGTAAAACCACAATAAATCTAAATTGAATGTTACAAAGCTAACAGAGGCACATCCGAGTTTGTTACATTAGCTGTCCCTGCCTTGCGTCACTAAAGGCTAGTATAAACAAATCACTCCACATTTGCTTTTTACCATTACATAATTTCTTGCAGACTAAAATCAACACTTACATAATACCGGTGGTACACAGGATAGTCACATGGGTTGCGCTAGCTGGTGAAGTAATGTTGCAAGACACACAACTGCACTTTAAAACATTAGCAACTGCTTGGCATTAGCCGGCAAGCTAACATTATCTAACTTGAGCCAGCTAAAGCACAAAATCACAATATATTTCATATGCTTTGCAGTGCTGTTAGTTTACCTGTCCAATAGGACGAAACCCAACTCTGTCGGTTTTGTCGGTTCCAATACAAAGTGGAGGTCTCTCCGTAATTCAAGCCTTTCTGATGTTGACTTTGTTTTGACTGATTCTGATTCTTGTTTGGCCTGAAAAGCTTCAACACATAAAACTTTTTATCTTTATGTGGAGTTTGTGTTGGACTCGTGTTGTGCTGGGTGGGTTTTAGCGGACTCCATGTTGTTAGCTGCGGTGTTGTTGCTTTGTGTACGGTATGGCTGATTAAGCAGGCCAGTGGCTCAGGAGTGGATATGCCAAGTAAAGCCAGTTTTATACTTCTGCATCGGGTCTACATGCGTAGCTACGCCATAGACTTTTGCCGGCCGAGCAGGCTAACTTCCAGTTTAGCCCTCTGCTAACTTGAATGGGAGTAAAATTATATACGTGCGGCTGTTACAGACTTTTCAAATGTTATCGACCGAATGCATCACATTCTGATAGTGAAACGAGTCATTCTGCTTGGGTTTTGACGCTCAGATGTATTGATCCACCGTTACAGCTGCTAGATTGGCTGCTAGAAAAATTTACTTCAAAGTACGGAGGATTTCCTGTCAGCTCGGAGGTATTCGTGCAGGAGCGGGCGGTTAAAAAATATACTGTGGGTCCTACAGTAGCGCTGATAAGATGCAGTAAACAAACGAAGTTGAAAAGAAGATAAAAATTTATGCATGCTGCTGCGTCTGAGAGTGTACTGCACAGGCCTTACTCGAACCGGCAACTTCAGGTACGGGAGGCAGACACGCTGACGAGGGGGCTAAACCCCATGTGTGTCAGGGAGTGAAGTTTACTCACTGCACAGTCCCGCTGGCTTCCGTCACATGGGCTTACAAGACCAAAGCAAGGCAAGTCTGAAATTTGGAAAACTTCTCAGTTGTTACTGACAAAAATGAATGCAATGATTTATGTTGGTTATTCTGAACGTTGAGCATAGCCCAAACATTTGTGTCCTTTTTTTACTCTTCATGTTTGCTGGTGTGGGCGGGAGTGCATACACATGTTGCAGGAGCGGGCGGTAATGGTCACAAAATCAGCGGGAGCGGGTGGGAGCGGGATCAAGAGAACAGTCCCGCGCAGGTCTCTACCAGAGGGTACAGTGCCACGCGTAGGCTATGCTGTCGATTTGACGCAGAAGTATAAATCACCCTTATCAGCCAATGGATTTTCCAGAAAATCTAATCCGGAGTTAGATTTAGTTAGTGAGGTTACAACCCCGTCACACAGAGGCAATTAAAAAGTGATTTGTTACAATAAAAGAAACTACATATACCACCTTAAAATACTTAATAAAATTCCACAGTTGGTGAAAGCAAATGCAGATTTCTGATGTAAAATACCTTCTCTGTTGCTAATCATAAAAACAAAAATGCAAACTTTCACTCGGGGTTTGGGGTTTTCTAAACTTCTGCTTTAATGATGGCAACAACTTCAGTATTTCATTTCCTCTGAAAATGATATAATCTGAATGTGAAGTTAAAACATGTGATGGATTTATTTTAACTTGTGATCTAGAAATACAACATCACAAGGGTCACAGCACATGGCACTGGCACAAATATGCGCTTATATAGTGTTCATCATTTATGAAATCATGACATCTGAGAGCCATCATACCAAAAGACGAGTCATGTGGTGATCAAAGAAACTGAACCCCATGAGTGAAATTGACTAATTTAGAGTGGAAAGCCACTTATTTTCATAGAATTTGTTTTTTTGGCATATATTATCACAGAGGACATTAAGTCAAGGAACTTAATCAAAAGTGGACAGCATTGTGTACAGCTATTCAGAGTGTTTGGACTTTAACTTTTTGTAAGTACCTAATAACTTGTCATTTCTGAGATGGTAAATGATTTGGCATTTTAGTATACATATTTAGTATACCTGCTGAGTCCCTGTGTCATTAGATACACTATAAAACCTTTACTGTCTGCAGCAGATGACCACTGCACCATTTATCACAATTTTCAGCAAATTACAAGCCTGTTCATACAGTTCCTTCAGATGCTAAGTAAGGTAGACTCCCAACAGTGCCCAGCTTTTGAATATTGAACGAAAGCCAACTTTTAAACAGGTCAATAGAGCATGACCTATGACCATGACAAGGCCAAATGTTGATTTTATAAGGGTGTAGCTAAGTTGCCTGTGATGCCTCGGTTAATGCCTCTTGGGATTAGAAAGTTATCATATCCTATTTTCAAACAGCGTGTTGATAGACGAAGCAGTCAAATATTTGTCTATAGTTTACCTTTACTGTCTGCAGCAGATGACCACTGCACCATTTATCACAATTTTCAGCAAATTACAAGCCTGTTCATACAGTTCCTTCAGATGCTAAGTAAGGTAGACTCCCAACAGTGCCCAGCTTTTGAATATTGAACGAAAGCCAACTTTTAAACAGGTCAATAGAGCATGAACAACACACAAGGCCAAATGTTGATTTTATAAGGGTGTAGCTAAGTTGCCTGTGATGCCTCGGTTAATGCCTCTTGGGATTAGAAAGTTATCATATCCTATTTTCAAACAGCGTGTTGATAGACGAAGCAGTCAAATATTTGTCTATAGTTTACCTGGCCAGTTTTAAAAACATTATGTGGCAATTAATTTTGGATCACTGGCGGTCTAAACTGTATGGTTAAGATGGAAATGTACAAGCTGTGAACAAAGTGTTTGTTTTTATTTCCCTGTATGTGTGTGCAAAGTACTTTTGAGGCCCATTTATGTTCTCTAAAGGTGTAACTGCTGGTGATGTACCATCAAAGGGTCATCGCTGATCCATTACTACAACTACTAATATGTATATTCATAGAATAAACAACATTTATAATCTAAGAAGGGTCCATCTCTGTACCATTTCCTAACATATAGGATAACAGTAACAGAGATGTCAGTGTGTGACCAAAATGCTGTTGGGGGATGGGATGGTTGCCAAGCATGCCAAAGAAATTAGGTCCAATTTATTAATGCTGATGAATCTCAGAGAACTCAGCTGTGAAATCAACATTGTAGTGAACAGAATTTCGATAATCACCAAAAAGAAACACACCCATACTTTTCCTATAGCCTATAGGCCTACCATTAATGGGGGTCTAATTTGATGTTCAAGATGGTTTAGGTTCATTTAGATATTAAATATCTTTCATCCAAAAAGTGTGTGATATACTTTATTTGTGTAGCGTGAAGCGTAAAAGCCAAATTAATTGTAAGTGGAAATAGCCTGTCTGGTCATTGTTTGGCTACGTTAGGTAGTCTACAAGCCTATAAGGCGAATCCAGCATTTTTACTTGAACTCAGAGCAGAGCAAAGGCTGAAGTTATAATAAAATCTGAAAGAATCCTTTTAGATTGTGTGTGAATGTGTTTGTGTGTGTGTGAGAGAGAAAAAAGCATTAAAAATCAACTGACATGACATGATAGCTTGTCTTATTTATATCTTTGTATTTGCAGCTGATACCACTCATCGTATATTTAATCTCGGAGACTGGTGTTGTCCTGCTGCCCAGCTCCACAGCATATATTGGGAACAGAAATGCAGAGCAGATCTGAGGTTTATGGCGGGGAAGCCCCTACACCGTCGTCATTGATGGCAAGCCAGCCTCACCCAACCCAACCTCTTTCGCTTTGGGACAAGACTGGTGCTGGGTCGTCCAGGACCTGCACCTGCACCAGTGACAAGAAGCTTTTCCAAGTTTGTTCTTACCTAAACCAAATATATGTGGGGGGAAAATCAGCCAAACATGGATTATTACAAACACTGAGGTTAAATATAAATCCATTGTATGTTAAAGACAGAGTGACAAAAACAACTACCTTAATGTATCGCTATCTATCTCTGTTTGTGTCTTTCAAACTGAGCATTTCATTAGGAAGGGTGGAGGGTGGAGTTCTTCGGGCAGATGGAGGCACTCTTTACGTGACCTTTGCAGAGCATGAGGTAATTGAGCAGGGCACAGAGAAGGATGTGGTCCTCTGCAATGCACAGGAGTACTGCCTCACCAATCTTGTCCAATAAGATAATTCATTGAATTTTTTGACTTTTCATTTTATAATCTCTGTAATTTGATTTGATATAATCTGATTTTGTCCCACTTGGTCGGCACCTTTTGCACTCTTGGCTGCCAGGAAGCCCCCCTTCATTATGTGAAAAGGGAGGTAGTTGTGCCTTTCATCTGATCCACATTAATCTTCATAAAGAATCTGTTGACAAAAAGTATTGAAATTGAATTTGGAAATTTGGCATTTTGGAAGAAAATGCAAGAAAAAGTGTTGCCCTGTATGACCGCTCCTACTATGAGCTGATTCAGAAGAAGAGGAGGAGGACAATTCAACAAGCATAGTGTTTATCGACGCTTCCACTTATTATTGAATGCAAGACTCAGTTATTATTTCAAATCAGTGAGCCCTCTGGAACACCGCCTTACTAAGTGACAACACAAGCAAATTGACAGAGACCTCTAAATTCATAGTCATAAACAATGCAGCAATACTAGTACTGTGACAATAAAGTTAAGAGATCATAGAGTCATAAATCAGTCACATGAAGTAATGAAAATGTATTCTGAATACACATTAACAGGTTAAATGATGGAAAAGGGAAGAGTGTGAAACAAAACAGTGTTTAACTGTTGAAATATATATAATGATGTTAAATTGATGTCACAACAACCTGAAATGTCGATATGAAACACAGTAGTCAAAATAGAGTGTGGGTGTTCAGCCACATATTCATCATGACTTGCTTGAATTTTGGCAAGTGAAGCCAAGACTGTATTGTCTAAACTCACTTTTTGTATACTTCCCACCCCCACAGTTGTGTAGATGACCAAAAGGTTGAGGGGCTGGTGCGATCACCAGGGGAGCTGCCATTAATTACACAAGCCCTGCGGCACCTCGGACAGTACACCCGCCTACAGGGTGAGCACGTCGGCCCCCGACTGACGACTAGGTGTCAACTGTGAGGTCAGCAGTTTAATGCCTTAAATGCAAAGGTTAGTAACTTACATATTATGTGTGCAAGTGTGACAAAGAATTTCCCCTTGGGGATCAATAAAGTATTTCTGATTTCTGATTAATTCTCTAAACTCAAGAAACAGCCATATTTGGCAGTCATTGTAGTCATTGTCAAAAGACAACAAAGACTGCTTAAAGTAAAATGTATATAAAAGACATTTAGATATTTAGTGTTTTATGTAATGCTGCTGCCATAAAACAATGGCATCTTGTCTTTGGACATTTTAAAGCATGTGATGTAGCTTCACTGAGGCTGTTAAACAATATGGATGTAACTGTCCTACATTATGGAACAAGTGGTTCATAAAACCAGAGTTACATACAGATTACAAGGGAATTTTATGGGAAAAATTTAAGGGGCTATCCTTTTATTAAAATGGAAATACCATAACGATAACATTATTATTACTACAATAATAATAAAAAGGAAGCAAAACTGTTGAAATTACATGTCTGCATCCTGTTGATATTCCCAGTTATCATAGTTAATGTGAAGACTGTTGTATTTTGTTATATATAGAATGTTGAATAAATTGTTCAAATTTTATGGATTCTTTTCACTTGTTTGGCATAAAGGGAGTGTTGTTTATTATACACACTGGAGTCACATACTTCCGCAGAGTGTAAAGAGAGATTACAGATGTGAGACCTCTCCTTAGAATTGTAATATCTCATACAGTCAAAACTTAAAATAGTGTTCACACAGTTTATAACACAGTGGTGAATCATTCTTTAGACCCAATAGCCTACATTATGAAATTTCTGAGGAGAAAGAAGGCACATTTGGGTGAGCAGTGCCATAAGTACTGTATGTGGCGGGGCTACAATATTTCAATTGTAAAACCTCACTTTACATCATTTATATTATACAAAACTGTTAAACTTTCCAATATAACAGACAGTGAAACATAATTTTTGAACACTAGCGCACACACCTAGCCATGGCCACAGCCCTCTACAGGTATATGCCTATTTAAGTTTAGACACAGTGCGACACCTGCTGGTCAGTTTTTGTAAGTATAGTTTTTGGTGGGATTATTTACATTACCCTGTTCAATAAATGTTAATATGCACTGTCCATACCACAAATAGACATTTAGCTCTATCTTAGCATTTTGAAAAAATATATGATGCTTTATAGTAACTCAACTTTATTATTTTATTAGAGGATTGAATCATTTTTTAAAGTTAGATGAAGCTGTCAACCGATAGGAAAAGAAAAAAAAAAAACCAAGATTCTACCTTGACACGCACCAGCTTTGGGTCAAGTACTGCCCCCTACTCTGCCTCTGACTGGCCGACCCTAACTAACCCCAACTACTTGGATTCTGGGGCCGTTTCACCTGGGATGGGACCTCTGCTCCCTTCTTGTTTACCTTCTTTCTGCTCTCTCCACTGTGGTGGTGTACAATGTGAGGTAAACCCCAAGTGACATGCATCGGCCCATGCCTTGCCTTTGGCACTCCATCCCAAACCGTGTTGTCGTCGGATGGCACAGAGAGAGTAATTTAAATAGATTAGATAGAATAGATATAATACTTATAACCCCCTAGCATATGTGAAAAATGGAAAACGTATCTCTGGAAAGGAAGGTCTGAGGTCCGATGTATTATGTCAGTGTGGTGTCCGAACAATAATGCGATGATGTGTTGAGAAGAAATCCACTTGACACTGTTCTTGATCATAAAGGTTTATTACATCAAGGAGTTCAGCATCAATTACAAGCTCTGCAGCAGCTTGGAGAGTGACCCAGCCCGATGACCACTCTGTCTCTCTGTACATCAAACATAGCTTATATAGGATATGTGCAGGCATCTGCTAGATACCATAGAAGGGTTCAGTACTATTCTGAGGTAACAAAACACGGGGTCAGAGGTCAAATTCTATAGAAGGGTTCACTCCCTACATAACCATCAATCACTGCTCTCCCCTTAAGAGGTCACTGACCCTCTGTCCAACTGTTTAAACTGTTATGCGTCAAATGCACATATATTATCACAAACTCAGGACCAAGATTGGTGGGTTCAGCGTTCCCAAATACATATAGTGACATTGTTTTGGAATTTTTACGACGTCCCTAAATGAGGCACTTCAGCAAAAACATATATATATGAATTGAAGAAAAGTGTGTATCTCTGGAACAGAAGATTGTAGAGACTCAGGGCCAATCCTAACTGTGGCACTTAAGCAAAATATATTTACGAATTAAAGAAATAAGTGTATCTACAGAATGGAAGGTAATAGAGACTCAAGGCTAAGATTGGTGTGTTCAGTGTCCCCTAATACATATAGTGAATACTTGAAAGACTATCTCTAACTGTGTTACCTAAGCAAAATATCCTTACAAGTTGAAAGAAAACTAGACCAGCTTTGACTCAAATACTGCCCCCTACTCTGCCTCTGATTGGCCGAGCTCTTTTCTGGGCACGTCCAGCTGGTAGTAGACCCTGGGGTAGACCAAGAACACGCTGAAGGGATTATATATTTCATCTGGCTTGGAAAGTCCTTGGGATCTCTCAGGAAATGAAAAGCATTGCTGGGAGGAGAACATCAAGACTACCCTTTTAATCCCGCTGCTGCGACCCGTCCTCGGATAAGTGGAAGAAAATGCATACCGTGCTGTGATGTTATGCGATGTGCCTCCAGTGCTCTTCCTTTTCACAGTTGTGAACCATGAGTACAATCTCTCCAAGTTAAGTCACAGTTTAAGGTAAGTACACACGTATAGAGCCATATCAGTTGTCCTGCAAGTCCTAATCATACCCAGTGGTGTAGGACTGGGGGGGACTGAGTATACAGGGCCTTCATGTGAGGAGGGACCACAAAGATACTAGAACGAATAGCGGTGGATGCGGGGAGGGGCCTATAGAGAATGTACAGAGTCCAGATTTTTGTGCATACCCAAGTGTTTTCAATCTTTCAATAAACGCTGAAACATTTTTTAGTCTGTGGATCACTAAATTTAAAATTGAGCATATTTTGAACTTGATTCGTAGTTGAGGTCTTAGATATTTATAAAATTACATACAACAAAAGCGTGCCTTTTCAGTGGACCATACTTACTCTCAAATCTCAGACACCACATGTTCAAAAGTGGGCCAAACTTTATCATCATGCGCCAAAAGTGAGTCATACAGTGATGTTTTGAAGTGAGCCTGGGAGTGAGTCTTGAACAAATTATGGTGATCTATAACCCAACTGCTTAAAAAGACAGCCATTGCAAACAACTGGGGCAAATACTATGCTGCTTATTTCTTAATTTTTTTATCTTTACTTCAACTAAAGCCACACCCTCTAAAATGTCATGCATAATATCTACACAAATGTTTTTGATCACATGAAAGTAATTCAGTCATTTGTTAGTTGAAAAGCTTTCTAAAAAGCCTCCAACTGAATTGCAAGCAAGATAATCGGCAGTCAATTCAATTCAATTCAATTTTATTTATATAGCGCCAAATCACAACAACAGTTATCTCACAGTGCTTTTCATAAAAGAGCAGGTCTAGACCATACTCTGTGATGTTATTTACAGAAGCCCAACAATTCCCACCAAGAGCAAGCACTAGGTGCCAGAGGCAAGGAAAAACTTCCTTTTAAGAGGCAGAAACCTCGAGTAGAACCATGGCTCAGGGTGGGCGGCCATCTGCCTCGACCGGTTGGGGGTGAAGGGGAGAGAGAGAGAGAGAGAGAGAGAGAGAGAGAGAGAGAGAGAGAGAGAGAGAGAGAGAGGAACAGAGAGAAAGAGGGCAAGAGAGGAACAGAGAGAAAAAGAGAGGGATGGAAGGTGAGAGAGGGGAGGGAGGCAGTAAAGGTGATGTTGCTATAGACTAAATGAACAATGGTACAGATATTTATAGTAGTGTTAATGATAATAATCGGAATGTTAATGATTATAATAACAATAATAACAATAGGACTAGTAACAATAGTTGTTGTAGCAGAGGGTGTCGAGCAGGAACATGGGGGCAGCAGGTGACCCGCAGCCACAGATACAGACTCCACAGCTCCAGAGCCAGAAACACCTGCAGGAAGTGATAGGAGGAGAGAGGAGAGGGACGAGAAAGCACAAGACTACCAGAAAGGGGAGAAGTTGTGTTAGTAACATGCAATAATGGGATGAGGTTGCATACAGAGGGAGAGAAAGTAGAGGAGAGAGGAGCTCAGTGCATCATAGGAAATCCCCCGGCAGTCTAGGCCTATAGCAGCATAACTAAGGGATGGTTCAGGACTCACCTGAGCCAGCCCTAACTATAAGCTTTATCAAAGAGGAAAGTCTTAAGCCTACTCTTAAATGTGGAGATGGTGTCTTCCTCCTGAACCCAAACTGGAACCTGGTTCCACAGGAGAGGAGCTTGATAGCTGAACGCTTTGGCTCCTAGTCTACTTTTGGAGACTCTAGGAACCACAAGTAACCCTGCATTCTGGGAGCGCAGTGCTCTGGTGGGGTAGTAAGGTACTATGAGCTCTTTAAGATAAGATGGTGCCTGACCATTAAGAGCTTTGTAGGTAAGAAGAATGATTTTAAATTCTATTCTGGAATTTACTCGAAGCCAATGCAGAGAAGCTAAGACAGGAGAAATATGATCTCTTTTCCTGGTTCCTGTCAGAACACGTGCTGCAGCATTCTGGATCAGCTGAAGAGTCTTAATGGGCTTTTTCGAGCAGCCTGATAATAAAGAATTGCAGTAATCCAGCCTAGAAGTAAGAAATGCTTGGACTAGTTTTTCTGCATCATTTTTAGACAGGATGTTCCTGATTTTCGCAATATTACGTAGGTGAAAAAAGGTCCTTGAAATTTGCTTAATGTGAGACTTAAATGACATGTCCTGATCAAAGATAACTCCAAGATTCCTCACAGTGGTGCTGGAGGCCAGGGCGATGCCATCAAAGGAAACTATATCTTTAGATAATGCGTCACGGAGGTGCATGTGCCCCAGAACAATAACTTCAGTTTTATCTGAGTTTAACATTAGAAAATTACAGGCCATCCAGGTTTTAACATCCTGAAGGCACATTTGAAGTTTAGCTAACTGATTAGTTTCATCAGGTTTGATCGATAGATATAACTGAGTATCATCTGCATAACAATGAAAGTTTATGGAATATTTCCTGATAATATTGCCTAAGGGAAGCATATATAAAGTGAAAAGGATTGGTCCGAGGACAGATCCTTGAGGAACTCCATGACTAACTTTGGCGTGTATGGAGGACTCATCGTTAACATGTACAAACTGAAATCGATCTGATAAATAGGGCTTAAACCAGCTTAGAGCGGTTCCTTTAATGCCAATGAAATTTTCCAGTCTCTAGGTTGAGAAGAATCTAGGTTTAGTTGAGGGAAGCAAAACAGTCCAATCTGGTTCTACAGCTGTTTCTAAGGTTCCTGAGTTTAGAGATAAGTCGGTGCCAGTTGAGGGCAGGTCTTGGTGAATTTTGTTTCTAATAGTTAGAATTTTATCATTAAAGAAGCTCATGAAGTCGTAACTAGTGAGAGCTATGAGAATACTTGGCTCAGTAGAGCTGTGACTCTCTGTCAGCCTGGCTACAGTGCTGAAAAGAAACCTGGGGTTGTTCCTATGTTCCTATATTAATGACGAGTAGTACACTGGCATTACGGAGGACCTTCCTATAAGTTTTAAGACTATCTTGTCAGATTAAACGAGAATTTTCCAGTTTGGTGGAACGCCAATTCCTCTCAAGTTTCCACGATATTTGCTTTAATTTGTGAGTTTCAGTATTATACCATGGAGCTAATGGTCTTTGTTTTATTATTTTCTTTTTTAGAGGGGCTACAGAGTCAAGTGTCATTCGCAGCGAGCCTGCAGCACTATCAACAAGATGATCGATTTGGGAGGGAATGAAATTAGCATAGGAGTCCTCTGTTACTTTGTGACTTGATCGCATCCTTAAATTTAGCTACAGCACTATCAGACAAACATCTTGTATAGACATTTTTGCCCAATGGCGCGTAATTCAGCAATACAAACTCAAAAGTTATCAAACAGTGGTCAGATAAAGAGGGATTCTGTGGGAACACTATTAAATGTTCAATTTCAATACTGTATACCAAAACAAGGGTGTGGTTAAAACAGTGAGTTGGTTCATGAACACTCTGAGAGAAGCCAATGGAATCTAACAGAGAGATAAACGCAGTACTGAAGCTGTCATTCTCATCGTCCACATGAATATTAAAATCCCCTACAATAATAACTTTGTCCATTTTAAGGACTAAAGTTGACAAAAACTCTGCAAATTCAGAGAATTCAGAGTACGGACCAGGTGCTCGGTACACTATAACGAAAAGAATTTGCTGCAGTGATTTCCAGCTTGGGTGTGAAAGACTAAGAATGTTATGGCAGACTAGGGGAAAAGGACTCAAGAGCAGACTCAGGGCAGGTTACAATCAAGGAATTCAGTGTTTATTGAAAGGTGGGGTGTGAGCTGAGCAGAGGGCAGACCAGGGAAAGGAGACCAGCAGGTGAACCTCTGGGCAGGCGGAGAGCTGGGTAAGACAGAGGCAGGATTTCCAGGTAGGCGGTGGGCAGAGAGAGGCAATGGCAGGATTTCCAGGCAGGCAGTGAGTGGGGTATGGCAGCGATCCTGAGCACAGGGAGACAAGGTTAGTGATCTTGTGGTAACAAACAACAGAATAATAACTACAAGGCTAGTTGGCCGCAGCGCTAATACCACTGAGGTAAGTTGACGACCTGGCAACGAGTGAGGTGAAGAACCGGGTTGATATACTGCAGAGTCTTGATTAGTGGAATGTGGATCAGGTGTGCAGGTGGAGTGCCAGGCCCAGAGTGAGAAGCCACACCCAGACAACAGAGACAGACTAACAGGAGACACAGGGAGGGGAGAGAACATGGACACAAGGGGTCAAGGGGTAGAGCTGCAGACTCACAACAAAGAACAAGGCTTTCAAATGAGTTATAATTTAGTTTAGGTTTAGAGCTGATAAGTAGGTTAGAGTCGAAGATAGCTGCAACTCCACCTCCTCAGCCTGTGTCTCGAGGATTGTGAGTATTAATATGACTGGGAGGGGTGGATTCATTTAGGCTAACATATTCTCCATCACCCAGCCAGTAAGACAAAATAAATCAATATCACGATCTGATATTAGTTAATTTACTAGTACACCTTTAGAAGTGAGAGATCTGATGTTTAAGAGTACACTATTGCTCTTGTGGTTTTAATTTTTATGAGGTTTTTATGCACAGCTCCTCTTCTGTTTACCTTTGATTTAAATAAATTCGATGGTCCGGGGGCAGACACCGTCACCATAGGATTTTCACTAAGTAACTCCTGAAATGGAGGAGCAGAGAAGTGTGTTAGACTGTGACTCTGTGTAGGGTTTAAGGTGGGTAACTGATGAATTAGAAGGGCAGAGAAGTGTGTTAGACTGCGACTCTGCCTCCTGGCAGAGTCAAGAGGCAGATAGCAACATGGAGGCAGATAGTAACATGGAGCAGAGACTTCTGACTCTCAATTTCAACCTCTATCCCTTCCGTTTCAAGAGCTCGAATGTCATCCAACAAAGGCTTTAACATTTATAGAATTGAAAAGTAGGCAAAGGTGAGTGTTTGCAACGGAGAAGTTGAATTCTAAAGGCAAGTTTCTCAAGCAAAAGTAAACAGCTCCCGTTTTGTGAACCCAAATGATTAGTTGTTTCCAAGTCATCAACATAAAGGTCAGAGTCCAAATAAGTTT